GTGTGTGTGTGTGTGTGTGTGCACGCTCACACACGCACACTGAGCAGGTGATGGGGAGGCAAACAGGGTACACAAACTGATGATTCAAATGGTGGATGGTTTTCCATGCCAGCCCCACCACTAACTGGCTGTGTGACACTTCGTCCCCCTCAGCCTCAACTCTCCTGCCCCGCATAGGGAGCAGGTCAAAAAAATCTACTTTTGTAACAAGTTCAGAAGTAAGTCACAAACTAAAAAACCATTGGGAAAACAGAGAAAGTTAGGAAAGGCTGACATAGTAGGTTCACTCCCAAGGTAGACTGGCCACCCTCAGCACCAAGAAGTTTTGTTTCATGGTCACAAACTTGACTGTAAGTCCCAGCCTAGAAAAAAACCTATAGTTGGTCATTAACGGGTCTAAGTGAGTGGGTGGACCCAATCCCAGGCCAGAAAAAAGTGCCTGGCCTACGGATGGGAAGTGACAGCTCTCTCAGTTCATACAAGGCAAACTGCCTGAAGTTGACTCCTGAAGCCAGGGCAGCAGCCACCTCACAGGCCAGTGCTAAGTCCCTCTCCTTGGATAAACCTTCTCTGCCAGTCCTAACTCATAGGGGCCCAGTCTCTCCAATTTTACGTAGAATCACAGAGCCTAAAGTTGTGGATGGGAGGGGACTTGAGAGCCAACTTCCATGCTGCCCTGGGAAGAAAAAGGTGCTCAGTGCTCAGAACTAGGGCTCCTGGGCACAAGTTTTGGGGAAGGAGGCAGCTTTATTTCAACAGGAACTTTCTAGTACAACAATAACAATAATGAAAGCTAACACTGTTCTAAGTGTGTTATACGTATCAGCTCACCAGCCCTATGAGATAAATATTATTTTTACAAACGAAGAAACTGAGGCCCTTTCCCCAGTTTATACAAATAATTAGTAAAACCTGGGCTATAAAGTATTATACTGCGCCACCATTAAGCGCTCTTTGAGAATCTGGTGCCAGGCAGTACAGCTGAAATAGTAATAGTGGTTGCCTTGGTACTGAGTATGGGATGTTAGAAATGGTGTCTTTGTATTTCCCTGTGTCTTCCAATGTTTCTACAATGGTACAGTCCAATGTTATAAAAGTGAACGTGGTAGAGGAGAGTGTCTGTCCTTGGAGGCAGTGGCCACCCCATCTATCAGTGAAGAGTTCAGCCAGGGGCTCGTGAACCGTCAGTCGGTCCCTTTGGGGAGACCTGGGAACAGATGACCTTTAAAATCCCAGCCAGCTGTAAAGGCTTCATTCAGTATTTGATCTATGTGCCACCTCCACAGACATGGTCCACTCATTCCACAAACACCTGCTGAGTCTATTTCCTCTGCTGTGATAGGCATCATAATAGCACCTACCTCACAGGGCTGCTGTAAGGGCTGAACACCACAAAGCAGTAAGTTTAGCCAGCATATTTTTTTTCTTCCTTCTTTCTAAGTCCCTGCCTTTAATAAGTTCACAATTTAACACTCTCTGGCTAGTATCTTATGCATTAAGCTGTTTCACATCCCCCCCCCC